TCTTCACATCTGCTGCGCATACAGACAACTGAGTCACTTAGAAGTACTAGGTCACTGTTTACGAAGGTGTACCGTTTTTAACAATGTAGTGTTGGATGTGCTTATGCTGGTGGTGCGGAACTAGCCGGTTTCAAAACACTTCCACTTGAAAACAGTAACTGCTACGGAAGGGCAGCGGGCGGCAGGAAGGAGGAATGAAGTGAAGGAAGAGCCATCGGAATAGAGGATGTAATAAATCTAGCGAAGCATAGAATGAAACAGAAAATTACACGAGCTAACCTGACCACCAGATTATGCCTCTTCGGTTGCATCATCAAATTTTGCGGAATATCCCAACCCTGATTAATGACGCTGAAGAAACTCAGTGGTTTAGTCGAGCTTTGAAGTAGCCGAATGAATAGGGTTGTTACAGTATGGAGTTTTTCAAAATCTGAGAGTTTTTTATGCGGGCAGCTCCATTCTATGTGGATTTACCGCATCTCTGGAATTTGATTATGGATGAAAATAAGAACTATGCCTAAGTGGAAAATTTCGAAAATAGTTTAAAAAGGAATGTTTTATATGTAACTGTAGAAGTCAATATAAATGCTTCGGAACTATTTTCTCCTTCGTTCTCAGTTACAGACGAAAAACAAAAGGGGTTTTTTCCAGCTTTTGGGTCATTGAAAGGTACCACAGTACGAAATAGTTACACTGAGGAAGACATGCGTATTCTGCTTTTGTTGTTAATTTTATTATACTGTCTATCGCTTTTGCAGCGTGAGACACTTCTTGGTCAACTGGAAACAAATCGCCGAGACATTGAGCTGAGCTTCGAAGAGTTACAAATGTACGAGGAGACGCAAGACGCCAATTACGACAGGCCTGCTACTTCATCCAGTTTTTTTGTTGAGAAACCGGTCTTATTCTTTTTTTCAGTGTTGGATCTTCCTCAGGTTATTCCTTAGGCAGTTTTTTTTTTTCCGAAGGGAGCCACCACTGATAGTCCATAACCCAGGCCGGAACCGGGCCCATGCGATCATGCGTTTTTGCACCGGACTTGAATTACTCAGGTCATTAACTGTATGAATGATTGTTGCTACACCTACCTTTTGCGGTCGCTAGCATAAATCACCACGAATTTTGCAAAGTAAATGTACAATTTCCATTTAACAGTTGTTCTTTAAAAGTAACATCGATGTTCAGTGAGAAACTTTTTCGTCAAGACTTTTAAGTGCCCATATGTAAGAACCACGCATACCTCAAGGCTGAATTTGAAATACTTAAGTTGTACTTGGGTAGGAAATATTCCCTCAAAATTACAGCTCTCCAGCTTTTCTGGTACCGAGTTAGCAGTTTTCCTGCCAAAGCCTTCACATACCCATACTTGGGTGCTCCATGTGCTTAGAAAGCTGAATTTGAAATTTTTAAATTGCACATGGACAGGGAACATCCGCTTAAAATTCCAGCCTTCCAGCTGTTCTTGTTGCCGAGTTAGTAGTTTTCCTGCAGAAACTTTCATACGCCCTTACGTGAGTGCCATGCATAGTTTGAGGCTGAATTTGAAATATTTGAGTTGTACTTAGACAGGGAACATTCCCCCAAAATTTTAGCTTTCTAGCTTCCCTGGTACCCGAGTTAGCAGTTTTCCCCCTAAAACTTTCGTATGCCCTTACGTGAGTACCACGCATACCTGGGAGTTGAATTTAAAATCTTTAGCTAGTACGTGCGCAGGGAATATCTCTAAAAACTTTCAGCCCCTTAGCTCATATGGTTCTCGAGATCGCTTTCCCGCCTAAAAATTTGCATATTTTTTTGAAGCTTCCATACACGGCACCCAGGCTTCCATACAAGGCGGATGAAATTAAAAAGGGAGGGTCGTGCATGGAATGGGCACATACTCCCAAAGTTTCAACCTTCTAGCTCCTCTAGTTCTCGAGTTGAAAATGGGTGACAAAAAGTGCGAACAAACAGACACGCATACACACACACGCACACGCATACACACAGCCTCTTCCCAATATGCGTTTTTGTAATTTGCGTATATGCAAAAACGCATAAAAACAGGGGAAACATTTACTTACGGTTTCTCCTCGCTCTCCGCTTCTTCAGTTGTCCATAAGATCTGTTCGTCCAGAGAATGAAAAACGAATTTCTGAAAATCCCCAGCCTTAGTTACACCATTATTTTTCATCGTCCTTTATCCCTCCTTGAAGTCTGTGAATTGCAGGGGCGCATGCAGTGTGTCTGGATTGAAATTTGTAGAATTCCGTTTTGAATGATTGCTATATCTGTAAGTGGGTGGATAAATTGCTGTGGGAGTGGTTTATCAGTTTTTGCGCTGTTTGTTGCGGGAAAAGAGTCATTTTGGACAACTTAAAGGAAGTGTGCATCAGTTTGTCCGTAAAACCGGTTACGTCAGTGTATCTACGCAATAATGGGTATCGCATAGAAACTAAAATAAGCCGAAAAGACAACGGAAGTGTGTTTCGTTTTGGGTCGGATAGCGCATTTTCAACGAACTCTTTAATTTCCATTAAATTTTCTATCCTCCATACAATGAGCCAAACTGCAGCGTAATTGCTTTGATATTCCTCGCAGGCCAGGGGCTGCAGTAATTTACTGAATTGACAAGTTCCAAAATATCCATAATTCATAATACGTAAAATATGGAGAGGATTTTGACACACTGGCTTATTTCCCAGCTGACTCGGGGTGTTTTCATTCGCTGTTGAATATGAATGGTATTTTTTAGGTTCATAGAGGGATTGGCAGCACGTCGTAGGTTGGCTGCAGAAAGAGCTGCTCCAGTTCCAGTGTATGATGGAATGGGACATAGATTACCTGTTGGTGGTGGCCAGCCTATTCCATCTGAGGCTTCAAAAGTGCAGTCGAAGTCGTGTGCTTCATCCAGTGCTACTGCACCGCTTTCACCTGAACTTGTTTCCCTTCCCACCAGTTCTGTTCGTTCAGGTATTTGTTACTGCTTTTGTGAAGCAACACCTGTAAATTATAAGTTAAAATTATAGGATATGTGAAGGCAAATACTTGTAATGCCTCAGCCTATTGGGATCCAAACATCTGAAAACTGAGATAAATGAATTCTGACTGAAAGGTATTCGAACCCTTTTATTCTTTACACTCTGTAAAGCACTCAGAAATAGCCCAGGTGATAGGAGCATATTTTCAACAGCAGCCGTTATGCTGACATCTCGATGGTTACCTTTCTCGAAAGGTGCGCCAGAACAAGTTAATAGATCATGTTTGCTTAGCTTATACCAGTTTAATTAGCCACTGAAATAAATGAATCGTAGAGGGATTAGTTTATCCAGTGACAGCATGGAGCTTAGG